GGATATTTTGATATGTTTTAAAAGTAATTATTTGAATGTTATGATAATTAACAAGAAACGTATTACCATATGTTTTTCGTGATCACTCTCTACTGCATTGACACAAGTGAAAATTATCAATTGAGCAGAATAAATGTGTGCATAAAAGAAAAAGGGGGAGAGAAAAAAAGAATCATAGATAAATAACTTAATATATATATATATATATATATATATATATTATATATAGAAAGAGAGAGAGAGAGAGAGAGAGAGAGGAGAGAGAGAGAGAGAGAGAGAGAGAGAGATCTTTATATATATACATACACAAATAAACATATATACATATATACATATGATACATATATGCAATACACACACCACACACCACACACACACACACACACACACACACACACACACACACACACACACACACACACACACAACACACAAAAAAAAAAAAAAAAAAAAAAAAAAAAAATTAATTTAAAATTGTGGGGCAGATTTTTTTTTCTCGGTTGACTGTGGTCGAGCATGGTTAGGTGGAGTCGCCCAGCGGTTCCACAGTAACCGAAATAAAGGGAATTTCACGCACTCTAAACAAGGTTAACGACAGAACAGGGTAATTAGACCTTTTTTTTTTGTTAATTATATGTAGGTTTATGTTATGTTGGAGTAACTGGAATCGGTTTATTGTCTGATGAGATTTTCGATTTGATTAGCGATTGGTGTGTGTTGGTATGTGTGTCGAATTTCTTGTCTGTATTATTGTTATTATTATTTTTTTTTTTTTCTCTCTTTTGTCTTTCTGAAGTTTCGTTCATTCCCTGAGCTCGTTCGTTCTCTCGTTTTTTTTCTCTCTCTCTCGTTTTCTGCTCTCGTTTTCTCTCTCTCTTTCTCTTGCTCTCTTCTCTCTCTCTCTCTCTCTCTCTCTCTCTCTCTCCTCTCTCTCTCTCTCTCTCTCTCTCTCTCTCTCTCTCTCTCTCTCTCTCTCTCTCTCTCTCTCTCTCTCTCTCTCTCTCTCTCTCTCTCTCTCTCTCTCTCTCTCTCTCTCTCTCTCTCTCTCTCTCTCTCTCTCTCTCTCTCTCTCTCTCTCTCTCTCTCTCTCCCTCTCTCCCTCTCTCCCTCTCTCCTCTCTCCCTCTCTCTCCCGTTCTCTCTCTCTCTCTCTCTTTATCCCGTTCGCTCTCTCTATTATATATATACATCTCCCCCCCCTCTCTCTCTCTCTCTCGTTTCCTCTCGTTCTCTCTCTCCCTCTATAAATTATCTCAACAGCTGAGACTCCAGAGTAGCATTTACGTCCAGCCCCGAAGGAAGGAATACAGCTATAACGGACACAGAATTCTATCTCGATGCCGCAGGGATATCTTTTTTATTTTCGTTTCTTCCTTCCTTTTCTTCTGGTTTAGATCAGATTTAGAGTTATTTTATTAGGTGTATCATTTTTTTTTATTATTTTATCGGTTGTACCAAGTTCGGAATTATTTTATCGGAATGGTATGAATGAGAATGAATATCTTCGCAATATAAGGGATGTTTTTGAACGGTTTCGAATATATCTTCGTCGGAAATACATGTATTTCTGACGAAGATATAATCGAAACCGGTTAAATAAATCTTTTGTATTGTGAAGATATATACATTCTTATTCATACCTGTTCTACATTTGTCAACATGAATACGGTTCAGTATTTTATCAGCTGTACCTAATTCAGAATTATTTTATCAGTTGTACCTAATTCAGAATTATTTTATCAATTGTACCAAATTCAAAGTTATTTTATCAGTTGTACAAAATTCAGAATTATGTCATCAGTTGTACCAGAATTTGAATTACTTTATCAGTTGTGGTATATTTCTGGTTGATTAGTGACGATAACAATCCGTAATCAGAAATGGGGTAATTGATATTAATGTAATTACTGGTTACTGAGCAATATTTTCCGTTTCTTTGTTTCGGTGTAATACAAATGTAGGTCATTGCAGCTCAATGACTGGGGGAGGTTATACAGAACGTACTTTATTAAATCTGCTTAGGGCATTATATAGCCCTAAGCAAATTCAATAAATTTAGAATAAATAAATAAATAAATAAATAATGTACTTTATTGAAATTAAATCTGCTTAGGGTTATATAAGGCGGTATGTTGGGCGCTATGGCATGGTGATTTGTAAACGTTGTTAGATAATAATCCTAAATCCGTTATTTATCATCTTGATCATTTTTATTATTGTTATTATATTTTATTTTTTATTATTATTATTATTATTATTATTATTATTATTATTATTATTATTATTATTATTATTATTATTATTATTATTATTATTATTATTATTATTATTATTATTATTATTATTATTATTATTATTATTTCTTATTGATATTGATATTATTAATTTCATTGTTATTATCACTATTATTAGTGTTATTATTATTATTATTCGTATTATTATTATTGCTATCCGTATTATTATTATAATTACTCCTATTCGTATTATTATCATTATTATTATTGCTATTATTAGTAGGCGTTTCTTGCAAATTTACATCTGTTCTCACGACAGACATGACTAGACTTCCAACACTAGAAGGTTTTGTTTACGATTCCCCGGCGATAATTACCGTTCAACTTCAACCCAAACTCCCACAATAAATATCATTTGCAACCTCACGGAGTCAACAGAATGACATACCTAACCGTCACACGTCAGAGAAGTTTCACCCTTATTCCCACGTATTTTAAAATGGTACGTAATGATAGCGGGCGTGGAAGAGAAGAAAAAAAAATGGTACGAGCCTTTCCTGAAATTATTCCTGATGGCTGTCAAGTCGTGACGTCACGTCAGCCTGCACGCCGCATCTGGGTCAGCTGGTCACCCAGTACCTCGAGTGTATATGGTTAGCGATGGCGGTCAGGGAGAAACTTTTTTCCGAGATACTGTTCCATATATATATTTTTTTTTTTCTTTTTTTTTTTTTTTTTTTTTGGGGGGGGGGGGGGGATTGGTATTTTGTGATTGACTTTCCTTGCTTTTTTTTTACTTTTTTGTTTTTTTGACTTTAGGTTTAGTGATCTTGGTTGTGTTTTGATTTTTTGTTTTTTCTTAATTTTGTTTTTTTTCTCCTTTGTATTTATTTATCTATTTATTTTTACTTAGCTTCATAGTTTTTTGTTCTCTGTTTATTGATTTATTCATTTTTACTTAGCTGTCTCCAGTTGTTTTTTTTACTTTCGTTTTTCGTTTTTGTGTTCATGTTATACTTTTCGTATTTAACTTAGCGGTTTTCAGTTTGTATTTTTTTCAATCTTTCTTTCCTGCATGACAAAAAAAATACAAAAGCACACTCATGTTATACAACGTTCGGTATGTGATTTCATACATAAGACACTTTACGTCTCGCACAGAAATTACTCTCTGAGACAAACACGCTTACTAAATTAAATACGTAATATTGAGGTAAATAAAATTAGTAAATTAAATACGTAATATGGAGGTAAATTGTATTCGTAATATGGAGGTAAATTAAATTCGTAATATGGAGGTAAATCAAATAAGTAAATTAAATATGTAATAATGCGTAATAATAAACTCTCCCACAATCACATTAACAGAATAAGCTTGCAGTCCAATTCAGTTTTAATTTCATGGAGTAACAACATATTTTAATGGGAATATAATAACATAAATGTTTTCTTTCTTCTTGTGTCACCTGCTGCATATTACGTACTTAATTTAATATAATTGATTTAATTTATTCTGATATTTTTTCTATTATAGGTATTTTTTCTTTTTTTTACGTATAACATTGTTTTATTGTTGGCAGTATATATTTGAATTTGATTTTATATATATATATAGGTCTTAGCTCCAGAAAAATATATTTTGACTTTTTACGATTTATGCTCGAGTCATCAGTCATTACTTTTAAGATATTAAATAATCTTTTTTTTTTGTAATGTTGAAATTACGTTGTTGTTGCTTGGATCATTCGTTATTTGTTTACCTAATTGTTTGTTAAATATTTAAGCTAAAGTCATCGTTTTAGAGTATTCATTTGTTTATATAGTTTTAAATTGTTTATGTGTAGATCATTGTTCAGGCTATTGAAGTTATCGGTTGAGGCGTCGTTTGTTAAGGTAATTTATCTAAGCTATGGTTAGTTTCAGTCATCGTGCTTTTAAGAAATTTGTTTTGAAGAGACTGTTTGCATAAGTCATTTGTTTAATTAAGTTCATCGGTCTAGTAACATGTAGACAATAAGGCAAAACATGATTTACAAATAAATCCTATAGCAAATACATTTAGGAAGACAAAAAGAGTTTGTAAAATAGACGGAATGACAAAAATGGCAAATTTAGATGAAAAAACAAGGTAACGAGTATATAAAACCAAAAACATGTATAGATGAAAGAAACAATATAAAGACAGACAAACCTAGATCAATTCACAACAGATATTGATAGAAGCATAAGTCAGTGTACAATTATGCAGTAGATAGAAGGATAAACCAAGTTTTATACACCAGATATAAACATGCAAACCATACAACAAACACACACTGGATAGAAACGTGAAAACCATATGGCAACATAAACTATATAAATCGGCAGACAGACCGAGATATAACCCACACAACATACATACAGATGAAAACCATATTGTAATAGGCAGAGATGTAAACTAAGCAACATACATACGATAGAGATGACAACCATATTGTTACATAGACTTTATAAATAGACCTATATAAACCACACAACAGACCGTATATAGATAGATAAGCCATAGAGTAATATACACTACATAGAGTAGATAGAAGCACAAACCACAGGGTGACATACGCGCCATAAATAGACAGACATGTAAACCACGCAACACACAATACAAAAAGATGAAAACCATATGGTAACGCACACTCATAAATCAACACACAGACAGACACACACACGAACCGAATCTCACGTCCGCCCTGGCTAACCTACCTACCCCCTTCACGGTACTTGCTTCCAGGGAACGTAATGCTCCTCGCACTTGTCGCGGCGGCGGCGGTGGCGCTGGCGGCGGCGGCGGAGAAGCAGGTGGAGAAGGTCGAGGGAAAATCGACTAATCAAAGAAAGTCCCCGTTTGACATCACGTGGATGAATGAGTCCAACAAGAAAGTGCTTGACAACTTCATCACGTGGTACAAGCTCCAGCTCTCTCAGCTCGTCAATGTGAGTTTAGTTTTAGTTTGGGGTTGTATTTTTTTCTGTTTGTTTATGTGATTATTTGCTATGATCTATTCTTCCTTGAGTGATACAATTCACTCACTCACTCACTCTCTCTCCCCTTCCTTTTCCCCCTTCCCCCCCTCTCTCTCTCTCTCTTTCGAGTGAGAGAGGGGGGTGGAGGGAGAGAGAGAGAAATGGTGTTATGGGCCGTAAAGAGGTAGAAAGAGAAACTCCTCGAGGTGACCAAAGCCAGTGATTCCCCCTCCCTGTTATTTGCTGTTGATTTATTTCCCTGTTCCATACCTATGCCTCCTTCCTCACTCAATCTTTTGATTTATCATCCATTCCATCCAAACTCGCCCGCACTTTCTCCTTGCCCTCTTCCCCATCCTCCTTCACTTCTCGCATCACCATCCTGCGCTTCTACCCCCCTCCTCTTCACTTCACTCCTCCTCCACATATTCATCCACCTCCCTCTTTCTCGTGATCCTAATTTATTTGCTGCTCTTCCTTCGTCCCTCCTTTCTCTCCTTCGCTGCTGCTGCTCCTCTACCTCCTCCTCCTTGCACCTCCCCTTCATCCTCCTTCAGTCCTCCTTGCACCTCCTCCTCCCCCTCCTCCTTCGCTCCTCCCCCTCCAAAAAGACCAGAAACCCACCACACCGAGCAACAGCATCCAACCCCAACCTCCATCCTCAGCCTCCTCCTCCTCCTCCTCCTCCACAGATCCTCAACCCCGTTAACTGGAACCTCGACGTGGTGTTCCCAGCCGTGAGTTCCGTCATCACGTTGTACACGGGTCCCATCGTCGCCCTGGGGATCCTGCTCCTCATCTTCTTCACCATCCCGACGTTCGTGAGCGGTCTCCTGCTCAACCCCACCGGCAGGAGCTTCGATGGGTAAGTTGCTTGTCTTCTTGCTTGCTTGCTTGCTTGCTTGCTTGCTTGCTTGCTTGCTTGCTTGCTTGCTTGCTTGCTTGCTTGCTTGGTGGGCGGGCGTTTTCGAAAATGCAAATCCCGAAATGACCCCGAATTGTTTTTGTTTTTGTTTTGTAAGCGACTGATAATGTACTTAAAGGTGGTTTTGCGTCTAGAGGTAAAGGCAGAGTATCCCCTATGTACGTGGGTAGATGTACTGTTCACTGTAAATTTTGTCGCACATAGATGGTTCCATAAGTGCTCAGATCACTAAAGGAGTCAATTATTAGCCAAACATGACCTTATTAATACTGGTATCATTACTGACATTATGATCTTTATTTTGATTATCGGAAAAAAACAAAGGGGAAACTGGTGAGTTGGGTAGGCCTAGTAATTGACTCCCTCGTGACTACGTATTTTGTGGAGCCATCTGTGAAAATACAATCAATAAATTAAAGTTACAGTGGATATGGCATTCATCACAACGCAGAGGGCTAAATGAACTCTTGAACTGTTCCTGTTACTCTTAGAATATTCATCGAAACGTTTGTGCCGAAACTCGAGTCAAAATGATAGTTATAAAAAGGCGCTTGAATTGTTTTTGTTCAACTCTGTTAAAACATCGTATTTGAGGTGTCGGTATTTCATCTCGAAACGAAACATTATACAAACACTGAAATGACCCAGATTAAGCTCGTACATCATTCTCTTTTGAACTAATTGCCCTTCATCTAAACGCAAAATTGCACGCTTTGGCATGACTAAAAGAAATGAGTATATGTACGCTTAAAATCAAATACAAAGAAAAACGTAACCAACTTTTTCCGCTTGAGAGCTATTTTATGTCAAAAGCAAGTATTTGTACGTTGATGCTTTTACACTATTACGTACGCATATTCAGCGCAAAAACAAACACAACGGAAACCTATACTTGCCAAACAAAAGGACCAAATACTTCAAGAATATCATCGTCTTCCACCCCTTCCTCTTTGCCCCACAGAGCGATGTTTTCCCCGACCATCGACGCGGTGTGGCACGCGGTGCAGAAGGCCCTCGACCACACGGATTTCCAAGAATAGGAAGAGATCTGACCCGCCTTCCCTACAACACTGGCGATGTCTGGCCTGTTATGCGACATAACACGTTCTCTCACCACCGATCACTGTTGTAGTTTTGAAAGGATCGATACTACGTGCCATGGAGTACTGCTCTTGATGATACCTTATAATACTCATTGAATCTAGTTGAGATTTTAGGATTAATTTGTTGTTTCTTGTTGTGATTGTTATTGCTGTATTTATAAAATTTTGAATAAAAGCATATTGCATGTATTATTTTAATTTACCTTAGAATATTTGGATAATTATATGCCGTAATTCTAACCACCCGGTTATACTGTTTCAAAACATTATCAAATCATGGAGACAGAAATTGTAATTAGTCCCTTTACAAACAAAAATTATTACATCCTTGCTACAACAAGCAACACACCTATTACAACCACATTAGATAAAAAAAATAACTTCCCTCATTTTCTAAAAATCTATGAAGTCCATACATCAGATAACGTAGAACATTTCCCATTCCATTCACGCAACCCACTTTCAAAACCCTATTTCCTACAAATCCCAACCCTACTTAACCCACAAAACACTGACCCTCCACTCTATCCCCACAACCTTCTCCGAAAATCACCTCCTTATCAACACTTCCACGTGTATCTCTGTCCTCCACACCCCGCAGCCTGACGCCCACCCGAAAGAAGGTTCCTCGTACCACGCGCCCTCATAACAGTACCTAGCACGGTGACCTCCAGGCCGACGTCTTACCTGGCGAGCTATTAGGGATCATACGCATTACCATCAACCACTTGTCAACACTGCGGTTTGGATAATGTGTCCGCTTTAACCTCCTCGCGTTTGAAATTGAGGGGGAGAGGTAATGAGGGAGGAGGGGGTAGGAGAAGAGAGGGAAGGAGGGGGAGAGGAGAGGAGAGGGAAGGAAGGGGGAGGGGGAGGGGGAGGCAGTAGAACGGAGGAGAGGAGAGGGCAAGAGGGGGGGGGTTGGGAAGATGACGTTTTCCACTTCAACCTCCCTTTGTTTAAAAATAAATTGACCATTCATAAACCGATGATGGGAGGAAAAAGGTTAATGGTTACATTAATCTCGTTTCTTGGGTGGGCGCTGCAACTTGCAATTACCTACGTGAAATTTATTAGGATTATTTTGGAAGTCTGCTTTAGAATGAAGGCCAGAAGGAAGTGCAACACACAGTCAATATAATAAACAAAGAGAGGGAAAGAGGGAAATGGGAAAAGAGAGGGAAGACCGAAAGAGGGAGGGGGCAGGGTAGAGGGAGAAAGAAACAGGGGTAAGGAGGGAGAAAAAAGATGAGGGGGAAGGAGAGGGAGAAAGAAAGAGGGGGAAGGGGAGGAAGAAGGAAGGGAGAAAGAGCTAAAGAAAGAGGAAGATGTTGAGAAGGAGAAAGAAAAAAGGTGAAGGAGGGAGGGAGGAAGGGGAGGAGAAAGAGGATGAAGGAGGGAATGCGGGAGGGAGAAAAGGGAGGAGAAAGCGGGTGAAGGAGGGACAGTGAGGAGGGGAGAAGGAATAAAGGAGGGAGGAGGGAGAAGGGAAGAGGTAGGGGGGAATGGGAGAAAAAAAAGGAAAGAGGGAGGGAGAAGGGAAGATTGAGGGAGACAGAAGGGAGAAGGGAATGAGGGAGGGAGGAGGGAAGAGAGAGAAAAGAGGAAGGAGGGAGGGAAGAGAGGAGAGAGAGGAAAGAGGAAGGAGGGAGGAGGGAAGAGGGAAGAGAGAGGAAGGAGGGAGAAGGGAAAAGAGAAGAGGAGGAAAGAGGGAACAGGAAGGGACAAGAAAAGGAGAGAGAGGAAAGAGGGAACAGGAAGGGACAGGAAAAGAGGAGAGAAGAGGAAAGAGAAACGTTAGGCAGGAAAGAGAGAAGAGGGAACAGGAAGGAACAAGAGAAGAGGGTGAGAAAGGAAGGGAGAAGGAGGGTAGAGGAAATAGGAAGAGACAAGAGAAGAGGGAGGTAAAAGGGAACAGGAAGGGAAGGGAGGAAGATGAGATATTATAAATGAAAACATGAATAAAAAAATATGTAGGAAATTATAAGAATTTCAACTGTCTCCTACATACTACTGTCAAGTAGCAATTACACACCATCAAATAACTCTACAAGACAATCTCTTTCTAAAATGAATATGATACCAATTAAAACTAGTTCGTCAGAACAGATATTCAATGAACTAAAAGAATTACACCAACCCTAACATGGGCTACAAAATGGGTACACTAATACTGCCATGGATTAAATGTGGTTATATGATACATTAATATAAACACAGGATTAAATGAACTAAAAGAATTACACCAACCCTAACATGGGCTACAAAATGGGTACACTAATACTGCCATGGATTAAATGTGGTTATATGATACATTAATATAAAAAGGAGTATTCTAAGGATATTTTCAAAACCTTATGGCATGCGCTATGGCATATAAATGCAAATTTCTCAGTATCTACATGCACACTGTTGCCTGCTGCACAAATGCTCACCCCAGCTGACCCTAATGAAAATATTGTGGAGTGGGTACATAACAGGCATGAAGAAGAAGAAGAAGAAGAAGAAGAAGAAGAAGAAGAAGAAGAAGAAGAAGAAGAAGAAGAAGAAGAAGAAGAAGAAGAAAGAAGAAAGAAGAAGAAGAAGAAGAAGAAGAAGAAGAAGAAGAAGAAGAAGAAGAAGAAGAAGAAGAAGAAGAAGAAGAAGAAGTAGTTCTTCATTTGTGCAAATTGAGAAAATGCAGGTACCCATACTTAGGACTTACTTTTGACATTAACTGTCAATGAGATAACCAGACATACACTGCAGGAGCAACAGTATATAACAGGAATGTGTTAAACACACACTACTAAGTTGAGTAAATTATAAGGGGGAAAATCACCAAATAAACCTACATTTCCACCAAGAGATTAGAATGGGGCACTATCATTAACCATAAAACCCGTAAGGAACTCCATAAGATTCTTACAAATAAGGTCAACTTGATAGATACACATAATAAAGATTTTGTACAAAATTTATTTTAAAACATCACAGTTTTTGTAACAAAAGATCCACGAAGGAAATGCATAACAAAACCCAAAACTGCTACATAACTATAGGTAGTTTGAAGCAAATTAAAATAAAACTGTTTTTTGTCTGAAAAGTAAATATCTTTACTTTGCATTTGCAACAAATAAAATGATAACTGTATTACAACTCTACCAAATCAAACCAGAAAAAATAAAACATATGATCACGACACCTTTGGTACTACGGGGTATCTGACAAAGAATGAATTTTCCATTAACATAAACCCCAAACAAAATTCAACAAAATAATCAATGCTGCTCAACTACATACATAAAAATAAATTTCCCTCAAATTCTTTGCAAAACGAAATATCATAACTAAACTTCTGTAACCAACAAATCACCTCTAATGCTTTGTAAGCAAAAAAAGTAAAAAAAAAAAAAAAACAATCATACAGACTGTAATGAGTCTCATCCTCTTTCTCTTCTCTTCTTCCTCTCTCTCTCCTTCTCATCATCATCATCTTCATCGTCTTCCTTTTCCTACTTAAACATCCCCGATCTCCTGAAAGCGATAGGCTGCCACAGAATTCTCCCAGTAGTTGAGTATGAGCAGATTGCCACTCGAGGTCAGGTACAAGCCAGAGGGACGGCGAACAGGCACATCTACTTCCAAGACCGAGATGTACCGACCATCTGGGTCATAGATCTATGGGAGCCAAAAATTCAAGAGTGTGTCAGTCCCCGAAACAACACACTAAGAAGATGATAATAATCAACATTATACTTGAGTGATGTCTGGCTACTGCAAAAAATAAGGGATAACACAATACAACTATTTCGCATCTGATCATGCAAATATCAACTGTGATTAGTACCAGATTAAACAAACTTTGATCTAGTTTCCATGTTAATAAAAATTTAATAGAACTAAGTGTGTCATTACCTATAAGAAACCATAGTTTCAATTAATTTCAATTGTAATTTATAGTTTAAAACTTATTATTTTCACCTTATTTCTTATTATTTTCTTAATTTCTTTTACACTCTTGTCATAGAGGGTAGTTATTTATCTATACTTATCTATATAACAATACTTTATTGCATTATTCCATCCTGCATAGAAACCGCAGATCATCTGACATTGTATTTGAATTTCTGAATCAAATCCATCAAGTGCCCATGGGAAATGCCTGTCAAACTTCCCTCACATTACTCTAGTAGGAGTAGATAGGTAATCTACACATCACTAGTATGATCCTAGTTGGACTATTCTTTTGTTAGGTTGTGTGTTCACTCTTGGCAGAGGTATGAGTCCTTCTCATGGAAGGTAATTATTTATTAATACATTCCGAAATTATATATAGACAGACAGATAAGTAGATAAACAGAAAGAGAAGTAGATAGACAGACAGATAAGTAGATAGACAGACAGACAACAGATATACAGATAGACAGAGACAAACAGAGATAGGTAGATAGATAGAAAATGATTTACAAATATATAGATAAATACAAAAATAGATGAGATAATTTAGTATACCATAGGCCCCATGAGGTACTTTCTAGGGAACCATGGAGCAATATGAAAATTATGATACCAAATTAAACTGAATTTCATTTTGACAACAGCACCTACATATATTCATCTCTTACATATCAATACATTGGAATCTTTCCATAAAGTATTCTTGTTCAACACCTACTGACACCATTACACCATTCACCTCTACTAAACTTGATTCTGAAAAGATGAGTCACTGCATGGGGACATGGAGATTATCATATATTGGTTAAGGGCCACATAATGAAAAATGTTGGGAATCAATTATTTAAATACATCTATAAATAATCCTACAACTGTCATTTATTCCATCAATACCATCAAAATAGTAATACCAACCAGTATGCGATGGTTTCGGCTATCCCCTAAGAGAATGAAGCCATCCCCATCGCAGACTATGCCAGACGGGTCATGCATCTGGTCTCGCCCTTGGCCATATTCCCCAAACCTTTTCAGAACCACCCCTTTAAAGGCGTCTATAATGTAAACGCAGTTCAGGCCTGTAGGTGAAACATTAGGCAAAAGATGAACATCATAAGGATGAACAAAGGAATTATCTCAACTATGCACACTAATTCCAATCAAATCTCTTGAACACCCACCAAGATCCACAACTAAAAGCCTGCACTCTCCCTGCCAGGCAATGAAGCGCGGTTTGCTCTCACTCTTGGCATGGCTACTCAGACCCAAGTCTACTTTCACCCTTGACTCCACATTGCCCGAGCCTGGATTCAGGGTGACAATGGTCAGATTGCCAGTCAGGCTGGTCTCGACAGTCACTAACAGGCCCTCTGCATTCACGGTTAGACCTGAGTGGCAAAAATGCACAATATAAAGCCACAGTGTACTCTATTTTTGTGATTATGTGATTAAAAAAGGAAAAGCAACAGTAAATAAAAAATAAAGATAAATAAATAAACAACTCACCATAGGGTCGACTCAACTTTCCCTTTGCAATGACTTTGCAGCACTCAAATTCAGATGAAAAGACAGAAATGCTGTTGTTGTCCTTGACAGCAAAACCACCATGCTCGAGCTCCACCACAGCAGAAGGATGGTACAAGGAAGATGAGGAATAGAAAGGGCCAAGAACCTTCCCTGCTTCGTCAAACAGCATCATGCGGTTGTTAAAGGTATCTGCCACGATGATATGGCCGCTGCAAGCAAGACTCATTTTTTAAGTATCTTTTTTTTTCTCTCTCTGTCCAAGCTTTGTCTCTCCTTCTCTATTAGAATATACCATGAATGATCTCTCACTACTCAATCTTTCTCCTTTCTATCGCTCTCATTTAACATGATTATCTTCATTCTCTCCCTCTCTCTCTTTCATTCAGCATGCTCATCTTTATTCTCTCCCTGCCTCTCTGTCCCTTTCATTCTCTCTGGAAGTCAATCAATATGTGAACTTTCTTTAGGTGAATATTCTTTAAATCTCAGGCTCGGAACTTTCCTTCTTCACTACCAACTTTGTACTACATATATGATTAAAAAAAACTCAACTCAGCTATGACATACTAATTATGTCACTACTATAATCTTGAGAGTTGTAAAAAAAAAAAAAAAAAGTCATGATCTTTGTACACACATCCAGACACACAAGGATACACAGGCACACAAAAGCTGCAGGAAGTAGTCATATGAAACAGGATCAAACCGACTCACCTTTCCAACTGAGCAATACCAATGGGTTTGTTTAAGGGATCACTGCTCGGAGCATACGCCTTGAATACGATCTTAGCCTCAAGATAGTTCATGAGGAATACCACAGATGACGCGGAGATGGTACCGTCATCTAAAATCAGGGAGGAAAGCAATGTGAACGAGAAAAGCCTCTTAAAAATATACTAATACTAATGGCAATATAATACCTATGATTATCATACACCAATTCTGGCACATCTGCCACATCTACTAAAATCTGGAAATTAAAAAAATAAGCAGCATCTGCAGATTTATAATACTTATGCAATATATATGTGCTAACAAAGACAGCAATGAACCATAAATCTATAAAAAAAAAAGTGCATGATAGGTTCGTTTTTTCAAATAAAGTGAAAGCTTTGGTATGTCAGGATATGCAATAAACATACATACTGACTTCTCTTTATGTACAAATAAATGTTATGTTACAATTTTCCTCCTTTGTTTTATACTCCATCTGATCATACCAGTAACATATGCAGAACATATAAACTACATGTTTCTGATGCTATTTAAATATATCAGAACCAATGAGTCCTTAAAACTGACTAGCTTTGTTACCATTATTGTTAGAAGTATGAAAACCATTCCTTTCCAGATTTTCCTCTTCCACTACCACCTCCTCTTCCACTAGTTCTTCTTCTTCCACCACTACCTCTTCTTCCTCTATCACATCTTCCACTTCCTCTACTACTTCCTCTTCCTCCTCTATCACCTTGTATGTTTCCTCATTTCTGTAGTGTGCTGTATCATTTCTTTCAAGTTCTAGTTTTTTATCAGGTAAAACACCTTTACTTATCTGTAAATAGAAAGAAAAAATCCAAAATTGAGTTTCATTCTTGAATAGAATTTGCAACATTAAACACTTCTAAATAGCATCAAAACAGAATATCATTATTATTCTATGCTCACTGCACATGACATGATAAAGGACAATACCATTCTTCTCAATAAACTGCAATTCATTGTCACTCTACAAAGACAGATCTACCTCTTTCTATGAGTAATACCTTGAGCTTCAGACATTTTACAAGTCAGGTGACTATTAACCACTTCCCGCCGGGTGGCATACATGTGCATGCCATGGCTGTTGTGGACAAAGAAGCGGATGGCATCAATCATGACCCTTCCCATGCCGTCGGCTCATCAGATGAACCTTGTTCTTATCCAATAGTAGCAGTATAATTTCTATCGTAAAACTTTCAGGCAATAACACCTAAAGTGAAGGTAAGCCTTCAAAAATTTTAAATTCTTAAAAATTGTATCAAATGAAAGCTTTTAGGTGTCTATTGTTGTCCACAAACTGCCAAACATGCCAGATACAAACAAAAACTGTCAATGTGTGCCAATAAACCCGCAATCATATCCACTTGCAAAATTTTTAACCTGCCCTTATATGGTTTCAAGAAAGTTTTGAACATCATGCAAAACTAGCTCAATGGGTAAGTATGAAATCAAAATCATGCTAAAGATATATTACTGGAACTGGTAAAAGTGAGTTTTCATCTGGAAGTTGCATAGCAAGACAGGATGTAATAACAGGGAAAGATTACGTTAGACAAGGGGAAAGGCACTTCACTAGGAAGAATGTGCTATCATACTAGTAGAAGTGCTCAAACAATATTTTTGAGGAAAATACAAAACAAAAGTTTTTAATTTGCCCTTTGGATCTGGATGACAGAGCATTTGGACAGAGAATGGACGCTGTGGACCATTAGGAAGGGGCTATTGCATATTTCCACCGTAAACAAGGTTGGAAGGTATACCATCTGTAAGCCAGAAAATGGCAAAACAGCATATATAGAACAAGAGTAAATAACATAGCACAGAGAATTGTTTGTCTGGGCCAGGCCTACAAGACACGCACCCAGAAGAGTTCCCACCTTAATAAGCCTACTGCCCGAATTTTGGTCCATGTGCAGACTACAAGGTACCCAGATCCAGCAGGCTAATGGTCTAAAGAGGTCTAACACTGTGCCAATGCATAAAAGAAACTGAATTTGCACTGAAGGAGCACTTAAAAGAAAATTTGATGATTGGATAAATACAGCATTATAAAAACTAAAAATAAGTAGCAGTTGAAAACAAAAAGGGCCACATCAGAATCCATCCCTTGTCAAGTTCAGTTCATGGCAGCTGACAAAATATTAGTGATCCCTAAGGACAGCCTTGGCATAAGCTACAAGCATAGTACATGCATTAATTTACACCAAGTACCCAAAGAATTACCTGGATTAATCTGGCCTGTATTTGTGAAAGTCCATTCATCATTTTTGCTGTAGTTCCAGGTCTCCCCACACTTCTGCATACTTCTGTACCATCAACAGAAAAAAAAATTAGTCTCTTTTCTTTTCACACACATATGTACTCACCCACTCTCACCCACTCATACACACTCACACACTCTCACCCACTCACACACACTCTCACACACACACACACACACGCACACACGCACGCACGCACGCATGCACGCACACACACACACACTCACTCACTTCACACACTTCACACACTCACTCACTCTCACACACTCACTCACTCACTTTCACACATTCACTCACTCTCACACACTCACTCACACACTCACTCACTCTCACACACTCTCACTCTCACTCACTCACTCTCACACACTCACTCACACACACTCACTCACTCACTCACACTCACTCTCACACTCACTCACTCTCACACTCACTCACTCACTCTCACACTCACTCACTCACTCACTCTCACACACTCACTCACTCACTCACTCACTCTCACACACTCACTCACTCACTCTCACACACTCTCACTCACTCACACACTCACTCACTCTCACTCACTCACTCTCACACACTCACTCACTCACTCACTCTCACACACTCACTCACTCACTCACTCTCACACACTCACTCACTCACTCTCACACACTCACTCACTCCCTAGCCTTCTTATATCAACGTCAGATGACCCGAGCCTGGACTGAGCTCTGTGACATAGGCATTTCAAAATGATTCAATCCGAAGTTCACTTACCATGTGATTCTTCCCTTTTGCTAATTTCCTCATTCACATCTGCTGGTAAGAGACACGGACTGAGTCACAATCACAAAAGCTCTTTCATCAGGAATGGGGGGTGAAAGCTGCACTTCTGTCATTTCTCTTTACTTAGTATAGCAAAGAAAGAAAGCAAACAAAGAAAAAAGAAAAGAAAAGCAAAACCAAAGAGGACTGAGTAAAAATGACCTGGATAAAAAATAATAATAACAATAATATGATAATGATTGATGAAACTGATGACAAGTGATGATGAAAATACTGACACTGATAATAATAATGATGATGATAATAAAGAACATTAAGAACAAAAATACTACTGCACAAACAAACCTGGATTAAATTCATGTTCAATGTGCTCTCCAGGATAGCAGGTCCTTGCCAATTGAAGCTCCGTTTCTCTGTCATGCTCCTTCATTGCCTGAGATATACTGCTGGATGGAAAGTCAGAAGTCTTGTCCAGTTCTTCATTCAAGATTTCTGGTAGTGTGGGCTGCTAATGTTAAGTAAATTAAGTTATCAGCATGACTAATTATTGATTTTCTTTCAATACATAAATATCAAGGTAAATTAAATATTGCTGAATCTGTATGAAGTGTATGTAAATTACACCTGAATCAAAAAATCAATTTTACTTATTCAAGCAAATAAATATCCAAACAAACCAGGCAAAAATCTACATCAAAGTAAATGAACAGTGTACATGAAACAATCAAAGACTTTCCAGTTATTTTATATTCAGAACACCCTTTTTTTCTCTTCTCTTCTGTTTTGCCACAAATATTTTTATTCATTTTTACATTTCCATGCATTACTAGATAACAGTTGCTATTTCCAATCAAAATTTCTAAAATGATTACAAAATAATAATAATAATAATAATTAAACCAGAAAAAAAATCCGAAACTGGATTTTGAAATGATCATCTTGGTTTTCTAAAATTTAATGTAGAACTCCAATTATAAATTATTTCTTGAATATGTGAAAATAGTCAAAATCTTACCCCTTGTAAAGTTGGAGGAGCACACTTTGGTCTCCTAAGGGGAACTTTGGTGCTCGGACTTGGTCTTCGTCGGACATACTTTCCTGGTTTTTCAGAAGGGGGAGGTGTGGGCAAGGCTTCAGCAGGCTTGTTGGCTTCAAGGGACTGGAGGGAAGTGCTGAACTCTGAGTGTGCGTCTTCCACATTGCTTGAATCCCCTTCTCCAAAGTTAAGAGGTCTCCTCAGTGGGCTTGGTAGGTCATCTGCATCCTGTTCACTGTACAACTCTGTCTGCACCCCTGGGTCAGCTAACAAAGTCATATCTCCTTCACTTCTGGATACCAGATCTCTATCCATACTTACAGATCCAACATAAGCCTTTTCTACAGGATACTGAGGTACCATAAAAACATCATTCACAGGCATTTCATGTTCAGGATACTCCAGAAGGCTCTCCTCTAGTTCTTCTGCACTGATTCTGCTTGCAGGCTGATCTTCAAGCTTAGAATGCCTATCATAAATCTGGTGGTACATGTCATGCTTCCAACTTTCCTCAGGTGCACTCTCCTTGATCCTCCATTGTTCAATACCTGCAATACCATCAACATTATATCATATCACATATTGGACAACTCATCTGAAGATTATTAGAAAAAAGGAAGTTTAATAAATAAATCTCATCACTATTTGACATTACATAGTACCTACTACTGAATTGCATTTTAAAACCCTAAACTGGACCCCTCTCCCAAAGCTAAAATTAACATTCTGTTAGTTATGCCAACTAAAAGAGCAAGTAATTTTTAGTCTGCAGCAAAGATGTTTGGAGTTACTATCACCCTCCTTGGGTTATTTTACCATATGTATGAATGCTGCAAAGCATAATCATCAACAAGAATCACCAACACTCTAACAGCTGAGAATAATTTAGGAAGTAATATGACACCATACAATGTCTGTCTGTCTTTGTCTCTGTCTCCCTAGCTCTTTATTTGTCTGTCTTTCTGTTCCTCTTCTTCCATTTGCCTTGTTGTATTATCCATGACAGTATGGCACAAAATACAATAGAATTCCAGTATTTCAGGTGCATTATATGCACAAGACACACAACATACATGTTCCTGGGGAAAGCCTACAACACATAGTGTCTCATTATGTTTATAGCTTATAAATATCAACCCATTGGATCCAGATGCTTCACTGCCATCACATGACCCAAAAACCAGACATTACGCTTACATCAGCCACTCTGATGGGTGTGCAATTTGTAGACCGGGCACATGTGAGCACACTGTTTACAATATAATTTTTTTTTCTACACAAGTGTTTTTAGTTGTTTTGCCATTTTCTAATGTCCGTATTTGTCATTAGATCTGCTTTATCCAGATGTTAATAAACTGTTCTCCTTGCACAGATTTCATGTCATCTCTTTAGGTATTCCAGAACTCGGTGCAAGAATAATAACAATAAGTACTTTTTTTTTGTCTGTGGCCTTTTTAACCCATTGGTCGCGGTATTATGCAATATGGCGCGTAATCCCCTAATTTTCATTATTTTCAACTCGGGTGGCGTATGGGACCGCACTTGAGTGTGCGCGCGCGCAGTGGTGCTGCCTTCCCTCTTTCGCGCAAATATTTTGTTTACTTATATCTGCGAAAAAATATGTATGCAAAAATTTGCAAAAACCCTTGCAAATACATGCAAAACATGCAAACATATGTAAATGCGCTCAGAAAGAGTGGCGGGTGTGGTTTTAGCACGCGCAATAGGCGAACAACTCATTTGGCGGTAAACAGCCCATCGCACACGCGGGCCCGGGGGTGGTGGGCCTGGGCCCTGTAAGGCCGCAAGGGGAATGCCGGCTTGGCGGCTGATATTCCCTGGCCCACTCAGCTCCCATGCCGCGCGGCCGCCCGCTGCTCGAAGGGGATCAGCTTTTAATTGTACGGTGCATTATATGATGCCATCCGCAGCCAGTGGGTTAAAAACATTTTTTGTAACATACAATTTTCTGTAATACAACCTGCACCATCAGTCATGGCAGCCAGGAATACGATCCTGAGCATGAAAACGGCATCCTCCAAGGAGCTGGCCCTCTTCTAGTCATGGCTCACGGACAGTGCATAACCTACTTACATACTGATGGAATTAATGCAAAAGCCATTCCCAAACACTAAATGAGTCTAATCATCACCCTACAAGAGGTTTGTGCACTCATGGTGACTCTTCCATAATAGTGGTCTTCAGCTAAAATGCTCACAATGGGAAGTTCACTTGACCCAAGCCTACTGCCAAATTTTCCCATGATGGCATGTTCACGTCATCCAACCCTCAGGCCTAATTTTTTCATGACATGATGGTCATGTCATCTGGATTGTATGGGTTAAGATTTGTTTATATCATACGCAAGGGAACTAATTTTCATGTCTCTGGAGTAATTCATCTGCAAATATATACCCTAAAGGTATCAATTATCAAAAAATAATGATAATAATAGTAAAAAATAATAAATAAAAATAAGAAACAAATAAAATAAAAAATAAATAAACACTCAAGGGAAACAGACATGAAAAATCACATACAGTTCATCAGCAACTGACTGGCAACATCTTCAGGGAACTTATGAAATTCTTCAATGGATAAAAGGTTAACCCACTTACGCTGGGTGTCACACACATGTGACGCCCGGAAAAACAAACACTAAATCTGAGCTTTCCAGCGCGTGGACAGGTTCCTGAACTGGCCCTCACGCCGATTTTGATACCGCCCAGAAACTGGGATTATCGGCTTTCAAATGGACCATCACTAGTGGGTCTAATACAAAAGATAACATACGCTGTTTGTAGCTGTACAAAACAAGAGATAAAGGTTCAACTCACTTTCCTTGTTTCTTTTCTTTGCACATAGTTCTGCTGTCTGCCTCTCTGCTATAGCAACCTAAAGAAAAAGAAAAAGAAAAAAGAAAACATCTTGACAAGACAATCCATAACATACACATGACATGATAAAAATGAAGAATTATTCTCTCTCATTTTCAGGCAAGACTAGAGTACTCCACTTTGCCTTTTTTTTACTTTAAACAGCTGACACTTAATACTTGTGTTAACGTAAGTCTGGAATTATAAACTATATTTCGTATTGATTTATGCCACCTTATAATTTTTTTTTTTTTTTTATCTAAAGTACTTAAGAGTCTATGGTGTGTAGCCAATTCATTTTTTTCCTTCTTCCTTTTTTTTTCTTTCCCCCTGATACTGGACAGAGTTTAGTAACTACAGCGTGATGATTCAGGACAGGAATTTGAATCCGGCGGTCTTTACCCTGGATGATTTACCTTGGATGACAGCCACTTAACCAAACAAGACATCACCACTACTCCATTTCACTTATGTCTAATGCAGCTAACTTGCATAGACTGATGCATGCTAAATTACCTTAGAATGCAAATACTTTACTTTTAAATATGCCTTCTAAAAGAGAGAAAGTATTGAAACTAACGCCGAGACTTTACTCCTAAATCTGCCTTCTGGGAGAGGAGCAAATACTGAAGGCAATATGCATTAACTACTGTAAAAGTTCCAAAACTTCAAGCTTGCTAGACTTGATAGGGTATATAGCAGCCATGGCCCCCAACCTGCACACCACACTACACACACAACCCACGTTGGGTCATGGAACATCCAGGCTCTCCTGGTTCCTGATTCCCTCACACACTCTGGCTTCATTCACACTGGGCAGCCAGCAAGTGAGGACAAACGTGGTCTCCTCCTACTCCATATTGAGGACAAACGTGGTCTCCTCCTACTCCATATTGAGGACAACCATGATCTCCTCCCACTCCATATTGAGGACAACCATGGTTTCCTCCCACTCCCTCCCACTCCATATTGAGGACAACCATGGTTTCCTCCCACTCCAAATTGAGGACAACCATGGTCTCCTCCCACTCCATATTGAGGACAACCATGGCCTCCCACTCCATAGAACTCCAGCTTCAACACCACTTCACCCGCAGCAGCCATTCATCACAATCCACACAAATCCTCCCCGAGATGAAACCAGTAGTAGTAGAAACCAATCTTCCAGAGCTGAACCAATATCAAGCACACCACAAGCATGGAGAATTTACCTGCTGCTTTCTCTGTCGGAGTTTGCCATCAATTTCATCATTTTCTTCTTTGGCTGCCTGTAATATCATTCTCACCTTCATGATTTCTGGTGAGGGAATAGTAGCCCTGCAAGAAGGAAAACAATTATAAAAATAATCAGACAAGAACATTAACATGAAATAAGAATAAATAAGTAAATAAGTATTTCAACAAGATGTAGTTAATGTATCTTCCATATATTTTTTCATGATTCCCATATCCGAAAAGGATTTCTAATGCTAATCAGTTTTTAACAAATCATAATTTGGTAAAGATCTCTCTCTAAAACTGTTAACAAAATGGCTGAAACTACATAAAGATACATTTGATTCCTCAAAACATTACCCGTAAATTCAATACAAAAACTGGTAATTGCTTACCTTATGTTATTGGCTTTACTGTTTACATCACTGGTGTCATCACGTTCTTCGAAATCTGGCTGATATTCATCCTGTGGGACACTAGCATTATAAGGATAGTGGTGTATATCCTACTATCAAATTAATTCTGCCAATCGGAAAAGAGATTTTTAACTGAACGGTATACTAACTATCATTTAGTACCTCTATCTCTCTCTGCATGCTGAGTGTTCTAAGCAAAGATCATACTGGTTTCTATCACACAACAGTATTCAAACAACAAAATGCACCTGATCACCCCCGGGAATTCTCCTTTTATTCATCTACTTAGTAGGATCTCACAGGCCTTCCTTCTACCTCCTCTTTTCAACCAGTTGTACTCAGGTGTCAAGATGTAAAGTATCTGATGACCATGTTTTTGACTGAGTCTGAAGTGCTGGGTTTGGACTATGCGATTCAAGACCATAAACAGTATGAAAAAGTCACAGGCCATGCACCTCCATGTGGAGATCCAGCCTTCTTGTTTTTCAACCTTTTGTAAACTAAGCCCCCAGGAATGTAGATGCACAGCATATTTTGAATGAATTCATTGAACTAGCCTTGAATGACCTCCTAAACAGTTACTATGGTCAAAAGAGATGATTCAGATCACTTCGGGTGCAATGGAGGAGAAAAAGGACATTACACTTTCAACTTTTTTCTTCTTTTCTTTCCATTTCCACATACTCTTTGTACTCCTTATCTTCATCCTCCTCACTGCCATCACAACCACTTTCCTCCTCCTCCTCAGCCTCCTCCATATCATCTTTCTTTCTTCCCTTCTGTTATGCCCTCCTCCCCTTCCTTCTTCTCTTTTCCTTCTTATTCTTAGAACTTCTAACAGATTCTTGAAACACATTCAAACAGTAACCAAGAATTATACAACCTACGAACTAATAAAAAAAAAAAATGCTAACTAGAACAGTTGTCTTCCACCTTTTATGGGCGACTTTGTTTAAACAACACTGAATCTTATCACAAATAATTACATAGAAAAAAAAAAATTTAGCAACTTGAAACCCTGTGCACAAACTTATCCATATATGCCAATGTCATACCAACACCATTTTAGAGTCTACAGTCACCCTCACATACATCATGCTACAACAAGCGTGGAATCTAAGAGGAACTAAAAGAACACACAAATAATTACCTCATCATCCTCGGCATCATAAAGCTGTAGAGTCCGCTCCCACCTCTTCTGAGGTGCGTTTACATGGGCGACTTTTAACACCCGCTTGCTGAGCTAAAAAAAATACAAGTTTGTCTTCGTTAAAAATCACTTAACACGAAC